AAAAAAAAGAGCTGGGAGTTGTGGTAGGCACCTGTAGTCCCAGCTACTCAGGAGGCTGAGGCAAGAGAATCACTTAAGTCCAAGAGTTGGAGGTTGCTGTGAGCTGAGACGCCATGGCACCATGGCACTCTACCAAGGGCGACAGAATAAGACTGTCTCAAAAAAAAAAAAAAAAGAAAGAAAGAAAGAAAAGAATTAGTTGAGCATTGTGGTGAGCACCTATAATCCCAGCTACTTGGGAGGCCAAGGCAAGAGGATTGCCCAAATCTAGGAGTTTGAGGTTGCTGTGAGTTATGATGCCATCGCACTCTATCCAGGGTGACAGAGTGAGACTCTGTCTCAAAAATAATGTTTTTTTAAAAATAGAAAATAAAAAAAAAAGGACCATTGAGTAAGCCAGAGTTAGAATTTAAGTTTTATTAAAACAAGCACAATGTATAAAAGCATTCTTGTGTTGTATAAACGTCTGACATATGCAAATCCATTTTCTTTATGTGTATCGATAGCTTGGTGTTTATGACGCTGGCTGTATCTTCATGCTCTCAGAGCTGCTCTGATCTAGATTCCCCTCCACTCTACCTACGTGCTCAGACCTACGCCACTCCCCACACAACTCTGAGGGGCAGAGCAGCAGTAAGACACTGATGTGGTCTCCACTGTCTCTAAGTTGTTCCTCATAGTAACAGTTTAAAACCAGTTAGAATAATAGTGAATAGCTCATTAAAACCTAACCTCATGGACATTCCTGAAAGAAGAACAAGCCGGAAAGTCCAGGGGCTTGCAGTGGGAGATTAAAGTCCCATCTTTGTTGGAGTATCACGGTTAAAAACAAACTTTTTAAAAATGACATACTGACTTTAGCAGCAATCACAGAGAAGAGGATGATAAATGAGGTCACAGCAGAGAAAGATTACGTGTTTCTCTGTGCTACACAATGGAAGACTGATCTGGCTTCCTGAATGACAAAGGCTCTTGCCTCTCCCTGAATTGAGGGGATGGTTTGCTCAGTCAAGAGAGAGGACGGGCAAAGAGGACATGCGGAGGACAGAGGAAGGTGGGAGGACCGCCAGAGGAGGGTGATAGGGCAGAGAGGGAAGAGGCCTGTGTGGCAGCCTCTGTCAACTGATGCTTCTTTCTTGAAGCTGGCTCCCTGAAGGCTGCAGCCCAGCGCGGGGCAGCAGCGAGTGCAGGCTGGATCCAGGATCCGCAGGCGGGTGAGCAGGTGGAACCCAGCAAAGAGATATTCCCGCCACGGGCAATTATGCAAAGTGACAAGTGATTGCTTTCCTAGTCAAAGATGTCCCTTTGGAAAAAGCTTTTTCCTCCAGGACCCTGAGGAAGTGGGGGGTTGAGTGGGGACCTCAGAGCCTTTGTAAAGAAAAAGGCTGAATGGAGCCACAGAGCAGGCCCCCGCTGCCTGCTCTGCAGACTTTGGCCACACAGATTTCCACAGGGATGATGACTAGACAGGCCCAGGCCTATGGAACGGCTCAGAGTGCTGAGGGTGTGGGGGATGGTTCTCGGTCTGCACTGCGGCCTGCTTGGGCCTGGGCCCGCCTGCGGGCCAAGCGTGACTTGGAGGGAGGGGAAAGCTTCACTGAGCACAGGCCCTCAGCCAGTGCCTGGGGTTCCTCTGCCAGTTCGTTCTCCTCATGCTGAGATAGCTGGCGGTTAAGGGCGATGGCCTCAGCCGCGAACATCGTCAGGTCCATTGTGCTGCTGTTCCTGCAGGGGCCAGGGAAGGCACAGAGAAGAGGGAGGCAGGACTTGGCGTCAGCCAGGCCAGCTGCTGGGCACTCCTGCTCGCTGCCTGTGGTCCTGGTGCCCACCTGAGCCAGTATGGGTTCTCTCTGAAGCAGTTCTTGCCTAGGTTGAAATCTTGCTCTACTGAAGCTAGGGCGGCTTTTGAGCTCTAAGTGCAGTCCCTGGACCTGACAGCAAACGCCCTGTTCTGCTCAGCCCTCCTTTGGGCTCCCACAATTCTGCACAAAGTTCTCCCATCACTCCCTCTCCCCCATCATGGCATAGCTCCCGGAGCTATGTGCCATTTATGCCTGTGAGCCCAGCTCAGGGCCGGCATGTAATAAGCACTTTGGGGGTGCTGCCTAGACCTTCCAAGTGGGATCTCAGGTTTGGTGTGTCAACACATCTGGAGGTGGCTCTGGAGAATCAGGTAGGACCCAGGCTGGGCAACAGCACTCACAGGCACAAACTGAGACTTCCCTGGGCAGCGCCTAGAAAGTAGCCACAGGTCGGTTCTGGAGAGGCTTACTTAATACTTAGTCCTCACCCTTTGGGACCAGGAATGCAGCCTGGTTGTTAAAAAGCTCTGGAGTTGAAAGCCAGAGCTACAGTGTGGCCCAAAGCAATTTAGCCCCCATCTGTTCTCAGTTTTCTCATCTGGGGATAATAGGGACAAAACATATACAAAATCCTTAGCACCACCTCTTGTCAGGTGGCCATTATTATTACTATCTTGTGTAACGTGTGAAACACCTGGTCCTGCTGCCTTATGGTGCTGTGACTCCTGATGCTTCTATTTCTGCAAGAGCAGGGGGAAGCCTCAGTGGGAAAAACCCACAGGTAAAACCTGTCTTTGGACTGTGAGTGGTGATTTCAAGTGGTTAGGCAAAACAGGGTTCCCCCCTCCAAACAGTACAGGGAGGTGTGAGAGCAGAGGAAACAATCCAGGTGGAGGAACAAAAGAGAAGGACAGATCTAGAGCAGAGGGAAGGGGAGCAGAGGAAAGGAATCAGAAGACAGGCTACCTGAGCCTGGAGTGGGCTCCTCTCCCTTCTCTACCCCGTAGTGGCTGAGAATGTCAGAGTCAGAGAGAGAAGAGCCTTGGGGTGGCTGGAACATTTACCTCTGGAGGACTTGTGGTGTGGGGAGTCCCCTTTCTGGAGCTTGCTAGAATAGGAAAGACAGATATGTGGGTTAAAGGCTGCTCCCTCCTCCCAAGGGCTGCCTGTCCCCCCAAACCAGCACCCAGTAGGTAGGTTATACAGTCTCCAGCATGGGGACTTGGCTATTCTTGCCTGCAGGGCCAGCCCTTCTAAGAAGACAGCAAGAAAAGTACACTTTGAAGATAAAGCCCTCAACCTGCGTGGAGGGCCCCTCCCATTTTGCTCAGCAAAGTCCCAATCATGTTCCAAGACCCAGTTTAAGGGTCAATTCCCCTGTGAAGCATTCTCCTTTCCCAGTCACCTCCTACCAACTTGAACTCAGGTGGATCCTGGTCCCTTTGTGTTTCTGGGGCCACACTCACCTCGCACACCCATAGATCCCTCTTTAATAAGAATTTATCACATTGTCCTGTAATTTATTCTCTTGTCTACCTCTTTCCATTAGAGCATGGAGACAGGGCCTGGGTCTCACTCATCCCTGTACTGCCAGTGTCTGGTGTGTAGTGGGTGTTCACTCTTGGGTGTCTGGGAATTAACCACTTATACACTCTTAGATCTGGTCCCTGGTCCCTGACTGTAACATGGGCTGGCATTGCTTGCCTCCCTCCACTAGCGGGGCCACTGAGCCCAGCTGGGGCCTGACAGACCACAGAGATACAATAAATCACCAAGGAGCCTGGCAGATCCGTTGGA